GCGCGGAGCGGGCCGTGGTGCGGAGGGGGCCGATGCCGGGCCGCTGGACGCCTGGGGCCGCGGCCGGGGAGCCGTCGGGGCCGGTGGCGGCGGCACTGCTGTCGCCGGCGGTGGGCGCCGCCACCGGCTGCTGCCCCGAGGCGTCGGGGAATACTATTGGCTGGTGCTTGCGGCGCTTGCGCTGTTCCTGGTCTCGCCGGTGCTGCTGCTGCTCCAACTCCTGCTGCTGCTCCTCTTGCTGCTGCGGCTGCTGCTGCTGCTGCTGCTCCCTCTGCTGCTGCTGCTGCCGCTCCCTCTGCTGCGCTTGCGCCTGCAGTGGGTCCCCTGGGTGCCGATGCCCCCCCTCTTGCTGATCTTGTTGCGGCGTGTGTTCGTCCTGCTTCTGCTGCTGCTGCTGCTGCTGCTGCTGCTCCTCGCCCTGCAGCTGCCGCTGCTGCTGCGGCTGCTGCTGTTGCTCTTCCTGCCCCAAAGCCCCACTGCCGCTTTGCCGCCGCCCCCGGCCATGCACGCTGCTGTTCTGCCGTTGCAGCTGCCGGCCGCCGTCCTCGTCCTCGGCTGGTCCTGTCTCGTCATAATCTATGCGGTTGTGAGGCACGTGAGCGACCTTCAGGTGCATGCAGCGGCACGCACCACGCAGCAGCATGCAGCGCAGGCGCACTCACACTGCACACGCAAGCAAGCAATTGAGCTGTGTCGCCCCGTGTGCCAGCTGTGCTGCCTCAACTCTGCGCAGCGCACACTGACCGTTGTCCCCATAGTCCACGAGCTCCTCGTCCTGAGATGACATTCCTTGTCGATTGATGCACTGCTTTTTCCAGCGGGAGGATTCGACCCCAGACGTGTTATGCTGGCCTGGAGACGCTTCAACAGTTTATAGTTACGCGGATGTTATGCTTCATGCCTCTGTACGTGCAACCTCGTGATCTGAGTCCCCCTGGTGCCAGAGGTATTCGATGTCCAGAATACTATATCACAGTAGCATGTATTACTGAGCTAGACTAAAGGCTGGCGTCGAAGCAGGGAGCACAAGAAAGCGTGCCGCAAGGTGCCGTCGCCGCAACAGGCGCAAGGTGCCGCAACCGAAAACCGTCAATGAGTCAACCTTGGCAATGAAACCCAACATATGCTTCTCATGACATGATAGCTGCTGGAAGTGAGTTTGATGAGGGCCAGCAGGTTGACACAGGATGAGTGTGCAGATCCAAGCGCGGCTTGGCGTTTGGATGGAGGAGTACAGAGGCGCGGATGGGCCAGGTTGTGAGGTGCGTGCACTGCCCCTGCCACGCAGGCTCATCCTAAAACGTCATTCCACCCGTTGTGCAAATCGTTGAAGGCACTTCAGCAGTCCTACGTGAGCATGCATGAATAGGCCAATTGCCTCCCAAACAACAGGTGGTGCCTGGCCCCGGACACCAGACCTGTTGCTGACGGCTAGTTTGAAAGATCCATGGGCATTTGTGCATGCATGGTAATGGCATGATGCTGACAGCCTTGAAGGTATCCACGCATTCACCAGCAATCCGATCAAGGGTGAGTTCTCCCCTGGCTGTGCGTACTCACGCTGGGGCTTGCAACCGCGGGTACCCCGTGCGCGCCCTGCTCCTGTTGGCACAGAGAGGACCCTGTTGAGGGTCCCAGGGAGGTCCACTACGGCCAACATGCAAGCGCCCCAATCTCAACTTTCATGGGATCAAGCAGCGCAGGTCCTGCCGCATGCATGCCCGGGACGAGCTGTGCACGGCGACATCCTGGCGGCTTCCAAGATGCGGGACACTAACACCAAGGATTACTTTGTTGTTGGTCACAAGGAATGTGCAGGCTGGGCCGCACACGATTGTCAGCTCGTTCGCATGTTGACCAACGGTAGAGCCACGGGAGGCAGCCGCAATCGGGCCGCCATTTTCGACAGCGCAGCCAATCCGTACTGTATGAGGTTCGCCTCAGGGACGTTGTTCAGCGCTCTACCCTTCCCATCTCAATATGGCACGATTTTTCATCACTGTTATCACTGAGTGCGTTGGGTGGCGGGCAGCGCTGCAGGGCGTGAGCTCCTGGTCTAGGCGTCTAGCAAGGCGTGAGCTTCGTTCTCTTTTCAGTCAAGGGATCGCAGCCCTGTCAAAACCGACTCTAGCCTATGACTTTTCGTGCAAGGGCTGGTTCAATGACTCCGCGCTTGTACTGACGCCGGTGTCACCGGGTGGCTGGAGGTCTGGGAGCTGAGCGCGGCCACGGAGCTTCACGCCATGGTCTGGTATCGTCACAGCCTCATACACATTTGATAAAAGACGGTATGTCGCAACTTTGCGGTCGATCTTGGCACGCAGGCCCGCTCAACTCGATCTCCACGCGGGCCGGGAGACCGCCGTTGAGCCTGGCCCGCTCTGTAGTGTCGTACTGGTCAGCAGCACCCGAAACAAGATGAAGTTGGTTCAGCGAGCAGCCGTCTTTGCGCTGCTCATCATGTTTGCAGGTGATGTTGGTGGCTTGCGCCGGCGTCACCTCGCATCGCAGCCCCAGGGGCCGTGTGCACCCGGGTGACGGCGTTGCCAAACATATTTGATGCACCCGTGCGCGCGACGGCGCCCAAAAGCCGCCTCTCAGACCTGTCCACGGCCAACCGCTTCCAACCCCCTCAGGCGCCCCGGCAAGCGCGCAAGGCAGCGGCGCCGCCGCCTTGGAGACGCCGCGCCAAAAGACCATCAAGGCCCTCGGGGAGGCGCTGCCCCAGGCACGGGGCAGCGACGCCATAAAGATCGAGTTCTTGAGCCTCGACAGCGACACACTCGAGAAGTTCGCAGCCATCAAGGGCACGCAGCAGAAGGTGCGGCTGCCCAGCCGCGCGGCGGCTGTCCCAGGCCCCATCGCAGCCACGCCCTGGCAGCCAGCCGGCCGCCGCTAGCGCTGTCCTGGACGCTCGCCGCTGAGTGCCGCAAGATTGCCAAGGAGCCTTGCATGCTGGGAGGACGTGTGAGCACGCGTGGCTGACAGGGGCATCGCATGTGCCGTCAGTAATCAAGGGAGGCGCCGGCCACCTGTTCCGCCTCCTGGGTCGCGCCATACGGTCCGCACACAAGGGGCTCGGACTCAATGGCGGCGGCGACAGCAGCTAAATGCAGCGCTTGGGCCGGCAGGCTCGAGGCCCTGGGGTGTCATGCATTCATCCAAGGCCAATAAAGCTCGCCCACCAAACCACCAAGCGACGCCCGCCTTTCACGACGCCATGGACTCCGGCCGCCCCGCGCCAACGCCAGGTCCTCAGCGAGCTGCCGCCGCAGCGGCTGGCGCAGCTGGTGGAGGCGGTGCGGGCGTCCCAGTACCGCCACAGGAGCGCCTACACCACCTGCCTGGGGCTCCTGCCCGCAGTCAGGGGCATCAGGTGGGCGCTGCGGAGCGGCGCGTTCCACCCTTTCCCCCGCCCTGGGCTGCCGCCCGCCCGCGGGGGCCGCGCCCTTGCCGCGCACGCTGCCAGGAACAGCAACCCCCAAGCCGTCCTGGCCCAGCCCGCGACGCACCTCCCTACCCACCCGCCAGCTGCGTCCTAGCAATCCCACGCCCGCACCCCAAGGCCCGATGGTCACCACTGTCCAAAACCCCACCCCGATCCATGAATCAATTCATAAACAAAACAAGCCCCATCCTGCTTCCACAGGTCCCTCGCCCTCGGGCTGGCGGCGCTGTCGGTGCCGACCCTGGAGGCCGTGGCATCCCTGCCGTCGGAGCTGCCCGTCGTGCGCCAGCTGGCGTACCAGCAGGCGGCGCCCCTCAAGATCCTGCTGCGGGAGCTCAAGGGGTTTGAAGCCGCCAGGGTGCGCGCGGTGGCGGGGGCTCAGGCGCGGCCGCCTCGCGCCGGCATGCAAATGTCACGCCCGCCTGCCTGACACTACGACGTGCCTGCCCTGCGTGACGGCCGCCTGGTTAAGCTCATGGGTGAACGTTGGCACGCTTATCGACGTCTTCAATCACCATGCACTCACTCTGTCCACGTACAGCATTGTGCCACCCGCGCGACCTCATAATGTGCATTGCGATTCTGCCCTGCAGGGCACTCCTGCGGTCGACTACAGTGCCGTCGCTGCTGTGAACGCTGCCTCTCCTGGCGGGCCCCCCACTGGTATTGTCCCAACTGGCAGCGGGCAAACCGTGGTGCTACCACAGGAGTTGCGCACCAACGGCACGGCAAGGCGCAACCGCACGCTGTCGGCCGCCACCCTCAAGCGGCTGCAGCGCTTGTCAAACAAGTGAGGGCGGGGCGGGCAGCAGGCTGCTGCATGTATGGCGGCATCTCTAGCTTTGTGCTGCGCAGCTGGTGCTGCCAAACCCCTGCACGCAATCAAGGCCGGCCTTGCACGAAACGCGCAGACTGCCCTTGCGGTGTCTGCATGAGCGCTGCCTTCACCCACCTCCCTTACATCCTCCCGCAGGAACGCCCTGGCTGCAGCAGGCGTGCCCGACAAGAAACCCGGCTCCCAGGCTGCCACCGGCCTCGTCCCCGCCGCAAACGCCGGCAAGCGCCGCCTGGCGCAGGCGACTGCCGGCGGCAACTACACTGATGTGTTCTCGACCCTGCAGCTGATCGAGAGGGTCCTGCAGCAACATGGCACTCCTCCCCCGCCAGATGCACAGCAGACCGGGGTCGGCGGCAACCTTGGAGGCGGGAGAATTTTTGGGATGTGGAGCGGCGGCGATTACGGGGGCGGCGACTGGGACGCCTGGGGTAGCAGCGACGATTACGATGCTGGCGGAGGCTATATAGGCGATGGTGGTGACGGCGGCGTTGGTAGCGGCGGCAGCGGCAGTGGCCCCGGTGATGCTTGCGGGATCGTGCCAAGCGGCTGCAGTTGCGTTTGGGTCCCACCGCCGGCGTCGCCTTCGCCCAACACAACGGCAGCGCCCTCCGCCAACAGCACCACGGCCCGGACAGCCAACAGCACGGACGCCTTGGTCGCCGCCCTGATCAATGGAACAGCGGCCGGGGTCAACAGCACAGGGGCTTCAGTCAACGGGACCGGGGTCCCGGTCAACGCAGGGGCCGGCCGCCGCCTCTCGGCGCACCGCACACTCCGGTCTGCCTTCAGCACGGCGCAATCTCCAGGCCTGGTGGCGACCACTGGCTACTACGAGGTCCGCTGCACCAATGGCACTGTGTTTGGCAGCAACGGCACCACCGTCAGCAAGAACGAGACTGGTACTTCAAACACAACCGCCAGCCCCAATGGCACTTCTCCGGCGCCGAACAGCTCAGTCATCCTCAACACGACCTCGCCCGTTCCCTCAAACACAAATGCGTCTGTCGCGCTCAATTCATCCGGCACTGGCAGCAGCAATGGCACACTTCAATCTTCCAACGCAACCTCCGGCCCCGACGCCAACACCAGCGCACCTGGGGCCAACGCCAACAGCCCTTCACCTGGAACAAACGCCACGCAACCCATCAACCCGGGCGGTGCAGCCAACGGCACAGGCCCATCCACGTCCAACACAACCGGCCCGCCCTTCAACGCCACCGACGGCGGCGTCAACCAGGCGGCCCCAAACAGCTCCATCGGCAGCCCACCGTTGGCTGGTCAAGCGGCTGGCAACGCCTCCGCTCCGCCGAGCAGACAGGAACCGCAGCCCAACACATCGCAGACTTCCCCGCAGCCTGGGCAGGAGCAGCCCGCCAACTCGACGTCACCGTCGGGCGGGCAGCTGTCAGGCAACGCCGCCGTCCCTGCCGGCCCACCGTCTCCTTCACCCGGCGGCACGCAGAGCAGTACCACCGCCGCGCCGGCTGCCAGCCCCCAGCAGCCGGTGAACTCGCCAGAGACGCGCAGCCCCCAGCCGGGCGTGCAGGGGCAGGGCGACAGTGTGTCATCACCTGCGACTACCAACGGCACCGGCAGCCTTGCTCTGCAGCTGCAGCAGCAGCAGCAGCAGCAGCAGCAGCAGCAGCAGCAGCAGCAGCAGCAGCAGCAGCAGCAGCAGCAGCAGCAGCAGTCGCCATCGCCGGCACCGGCGCCGGCGCCGGCGCCGGCATCGCCCAACAACAGCGCCACCATCGCGCCTTCGCCGCCCCAAGAGCAGCCGCCCTCGCCGCCAGCAGGGGCGCCCAAACCTGTCAATGAGGCTGTCAGCGGAACAGCCGCCTCGTCGCCTCAGCCCACGACGCCCCCCGCATCGCCGGTTCTGCCCATCAAAATCGATACAGCCGCCGTCGTGTCGCCTCCGGCCACAACGCCCCCTTCGTCAACGGTCCCTTTGTCTGCGTCTCCAGCTCTTCAACTGGACACGCCTGCCGCGGCGCCGCCTCAGCCCACAGCGGCCCCCGCGTCGACGCCTCCTGCCACCCAGGCAGTCTCTCCTACTGTGCCGCCAGCGCAACCCCCCCAGGCCCCCCCGCAGCCGGCCGCTTCGCCGCTGCAGGCGGCCGCCGACGCAGCAAAGTCGCCCGCTGCAGGGGCACTGGCGCAGCCGCCGGCGCCACTGCAAGCACCGCAGGCCCAGCAGAGCACGCCTGTCCAGCCAGTCGTTACGCCAAGCTCGGCAGCTCAGCAGACAGCTGCTGAGCAGAAGGCAGCTGAAGACAGGGCCGCGGCGGAGAAGGCTGCTGCTGCGCAGAAGGCAGTGCAAGAGCAAGCGGCGGCTGCTCAGAAGGCGACGGAAGAGTTGGTGCAGAAGGCAGCGGCCGAGAAAGCAGCGGCCGAGAAGGCGGCAGCTGAGCAGAAGGCGGCGGCTGACAAGGCTGCTGCTGATCAGAAGGCCGCAGAAGCGCTGGCGGCAGCGCAGAAGGCAGCGGCCGAGAAAGCAGCGGCCGAGAAGGTGGCAGCTGAGCAGAAGGCGGCGGCTGACAAGGCTGCTGCTGATCAGAAGGCCGCAGAAGAGCTGGCGGCGGCGCAGAGGGCGGCCGCCGAGAAGGCAGCGGCTGACAAGGCAGCGGCTGATAAGGCTGCGGCTGATAAGGCAGCGGCTGAGAAGGCAATGGCTGACAAGGCGGCGGCTGAGAAGGCAGTGGCTGAGAAGGCAGCGGCTGATCAGAAGGCCGCTGAAGAGCTGGCAGCGGCACAGAGGGCAGTGGCTCAGAAGGCAGCGGCTGAGAAGGCAGCGGCTGAGAAGGCGGCGGCTGAGAAGGCGGCGGCGGACAAGGCGGCGGCGGACAAGGCAGCGGCTGATCAGAAGGCCGCTGAAGAGCTGGCAGCGGCACAGAGGGCAGCGGCCGAAAAGGCTGCAGCCGAGAAGGCAGCGGCTGATAAGGCAGCGGCTGAGAAGGCGGCGGCTGAGAAGGCAGCGGCCGAGAAGGCGGCGGCTGATCGGCAGGCGGCAGAAGCTAAGGCAGCAGCAGAGAAAGCCGCCGCCGACGCGGCAGCTGAGGCGGCGAAGCAAGCTGCAGCTCAGCAGGCGGCCGCCTTGGCTGCGGCAGCACAAGCTCCCAAATCGCCACTGCCTCGGAGACGCGTGCTGTCGCTGAGGGGGATGCGCGCTTAGGGTACGCGCTCTCTGGTGCGCTGGTTCAGGCGCAAGAGTGGGGTGTGCATCCATCATTGGGACCTCTCATTTAGGACCAACAGGAATTGAGCTAATTATTGTGTTGAGGACTGCTTTTGTTCACACCACGCGCAAGCTGCACATCTGGTTCTGGTAGGAGTGTGTCTGCAGCACGCCCAGAGGGGCGCCGCAGTGAATGGACATCCCCGTATCCCAATCTTATCCATAATCAACAATTCAAAGCACGCCCCGCAGCTCAAGGCTGTTCGTCTTGCTACCGATCTTGCATTACTACTTGTGCTGAGTCACCGGCTGCGGCTGCCTCTCTGTTGTGGGCCGCATGCGCTGCATGCACACAACATCGCGTTACTACTTGGTTGCTGCACTACAAGAACAAGTTACTCTACACCTTGGATTGCATGCCTGGCTGGTCAATCTTCGCCTAATCAGCAGGGTCAAGTGTGAGACAAGCCAGGGCAATCAAAAGCGGTGACATACAGGAGGCGTTTGGTTACGTCCTCTTTCATCAGGGCTCATCTGGCTTGCACTGTAAATCAGAGTGTGTGGTCAGCTCGCATCACTTCAATGACACATTAATTGGATGGCAAACCCCCATCAGGCTGAGGGCTGCAGGTACCCACCCTGCTGGTTGGTGTGCTTTGGATAATGCATTCAATTCGTTATCAGATATCTTGCGTAACAGCGAGTGAACCCGCTGTAAGTTGATATCAGTGGTGGTGTTAGGGTATACATGGTGGAGAAGTGAACATGGCGGAGGAGGCGACGAGATCAGCCGAGGCTCCGGTGCTCCCCATCCGGCTGTATGCAGAGGACATACGCAAGGCCGTTGCTGCCAATGACGTTGTGGTGGTCATCGGAGAAACGGGCTCGGGCAAAACAACTCAGCTGTCTCAGGTGCGCGCTCCGCTGCCTGCTGCTGTGTTGTGCAACGGGCCCGCGCTCCCTGTATGCGCCCTGCCGCCATCTGTGAGGCTGCGCTCGACCAGTGCCGTGGCTCTTTGATGTTTGCCAACGCGTCCCTACTCCCACAGATCCTTTTAGAAGCCGGCATGGCGAAGGACGGCCTGATAGGTGTCACCCAGCCACGCCGCGTGGTGCGCACGCGTTTGTTCCGCCGCCCCCATCCCGCCCGCGCCCCACACAGCCCGCCCGCCCACCCGCTGCCCCTCAGACCACGGCTTCCCGGTCAGCATGCCGCTCGTGCAGCCGCGGCGACCGCAGGCGTCGCCCCCTCCCCCCCGACGCGCCGCTGTTCACCTTGCTGCATGCTTTGTTTGGCCCCGCAGGCCGCGGTGACGGTGGCGCGGCGCGTGGCAGAGGAGCGGGGCGTCCAGGTCGGCGGCGAGGTCGGTTACGCTGTGCGCTTCGAGGACAGGAGCTCAGGGGCCACCCGCATCAAGTACCTGACGGGTAGCTGGGCGAAAGCTGCCGTGTGCCGGCGCGCGGCGGGCGTTGCGCGGTGGACAGTGCAGGCTGGTGATGGAAAGATCAAAGCTCTAGCACCGCAGCCACGGTGGAATGGGTTGCGCATGTGCCGCAGTTGCGATGCGCACTCCATGAGATGACTCGTGCTGACTTGCTGCTGGCCGGCTGCCGCCTCGCTGTCACAGATGGCACCCTGATGCGCGAATGCCTGGAGGACCCCATGCTCAGCAGATATGAGGTGGGGGCACCAGCAGCATGGACGCAGGGGTATGGGGGAGGGGAGAGGGCGAGGGGTGGGTGCGGAGGGGCGAGGAGGGCGGGGCGGCCGCGGAAGGGGTTATCCAGCAGGGGCGGCCGGACCTCGCCACGTTGGGGTGCTGCTGCCGCACGAATCGGATACCATTGCAAGTAGCATCAAGCAACAAAGGGAAAATGTCTCCACCGTCACACACACACACACACACACACACACACACACACACACACACACACACAACGCACATGCACGCCTCAGCGTGCACCCTCGCATCGGGGCTCATGCTGACAAGGATGTTGCTTTGCGTGCGACTGCGACCCTGGCCTGTCCCCCCAAACCCCAGGTCATCATCCTGGATGAGGCTCATGAGCGCTCCCTCAACACAGACATCCTTTTCGGCCTCCTCAAGAAGCTCGTCACCGTCAGGTGTGTGCGCCCATGTGTGCGCATCCATGTGGGATGGTTTGTCAGTGTGTGTGTGTGTGTGTGTGTGTGTATGTGTGTAAGTGTGTGTGTGTGTGTGTGTGCGTGTGCATGCGTACGTGTGTGTGTGTGTGTGTGTGTGTGTGTGTGTGTGTGTGTGTGTGTGTGTGTGTGTAGTTG